CTCATGGCGCCTGCCGTTCCTGCGTTCAAGACAGAACGCTCCAGTTTAAGGAGGCCTCCAGGTAACCCAAAGGTAAGGGCGCAAGAGGCTGTGCCAAACGCGGGCCGGGCGGCGCGAGAGAATGGCAAGTTAGGTCTGGAAAAGGAACAGCTTCTCGGGGAGCGAGGTAGAAAGGAACCCCGAGAGCTGCCTTCAGCATTTGAAAGGCTGCCCTGTTACACCTAAGTTGTCCCTTAAGACAGAGAAATGAGACCTACAGGTAAAGGGAAGAAGATAGCCTTGGGCTCGTGACATCATGACAGTAATTGCAACAGTAACCCACTGCTTGCCTACTATGTTGCCCCCACCCCGCCACCCCCATCCCCCCGCCCCGGATTAGACGAACTGAAGAGTTTTACAACCAAAGCTGAACAATAGCAACATCTCTTCCAGGATGTTCTAGGGGTTAAAAGATAGCCTGTATTTCTTGCACGCTATGAATCTAGTTCCTGGGCCTTGCCGTCTTTGCTGGCCCTGACACCAGATGGCGCTGCCTCGAAGCTGCAGACCAGTGGCATTTCTGGGGCTTGAAAAAGGAGGCACCCTGGCCATGGCTGGAGTTACCATCCGCCCCCCACCCACACACACACACAAAGGGCAGCCGGTGCTCCTGTGGCCCTTCCCACGAATTTACATTAGTGCCACCAGCCGGACTGGGCGTCCAGCAAAGGCTTGGGGGAGCATTGCTGGCATCGGCCATATCTTGGCACGGCTGACGTAGCCAAGTGATGGCCTCCGCTACTGAGGAAGGTAGGAGACCAGGAGCCCGCCCTCAGTCCCCAAAACCAGTGCTTACTGACCGGTGCTGACTGCAAAGTCCCAAGCCCTGAAGCAGAATGCGAAAACCCGGGAGATGCTCTACCTGAGAAGGACGACCCTGCCCCTGAAAAAGTTCACTTAGACACATCCTCAGGTGCTAAGCCATTTCCTGCCACAGGTAAGGCCTGGCGGCGAGGAGGGGGCAGATCTCCTTTCGTAGCAGCGCACTGACTGGCGCAGGGAACCGGAGCCTGCAGAGTCAGACGGGAAACCCTACAGGACAAATGACCTGGTTCCTTTCACGACAACCCAAAAGCTGCTAGAAAAGAAACCAAGAGGAAGAAGAAGAGGAGGAGGGTCACCTGGAGGTTATATCTTGAAAGACGGATCCGCCCATTGCCATGCATAGACCTGATTTGGATCCAGATCCAAACAAACAAAATCAGGAGATAATGAGGGACAAGTGAACACTGACGATCAGATCGCACTAAAAAAATTTTTTTTAAAAAATGCTGCTTTTCTTTAGGTGTCACAGTGGTACGATGGGTACGTTTTTCAGGAATCCTTCTCTTCAGAGATGATGCAGAAATTACATTTACAGATGAAAAGCTCCACTGCCTGGCTTCTCTTCCAAACAACCCAGCGTGGGTGGCCAGTGGGGTTACAGATAGACAGAGACTGGCCACCAGGCGACAACTGTTGGCACTGGTGGTGTGGGTTCCTTCTACCGCACACGTCCCCGCAAGGAAAAAGCTGAGAGAGAGAAAGGAGCCACCACCCAAACGCGTGGACTCCGCGGGCCTCCACCGCGGGCCTGGTGGAAGGACCTGATGGGGAAAGGCTGACACTTCCGTTCGGTGAAGCAACTTACTACTTTCAGGTTGTGCTTCTTTCCTGGGTTAGGAAAGGTCTGGAGATGCCGGTTCACCTTCAGAACCTGAGGAAGCTTTGGAGATAGTCCGCCAGAGCTTCTGGACCAGCTCAGCCCTCCTTCCTCACACCAGCGGAGGCCTCCTGGCCCCACGCTCATCTCCACCTCTGGCCACCTGCCCTGGGACACCCCCTCTGGATCGAAGGACATCACCAGACACGCACCACCTTCTCCTCCCCGCGGCAGTGCTCTCTGACCCTGCTCTGCCTCAACCTCCCCTCCCAACGGTAAACGGCAAGATTCCTAGAAGGAAGGATGCCCTCACGGAGGACACAACGCACAACCTTTTGGACCCCGTATGCTGGGAGCAGAGCTCCCGACATCACACTTGCGTCCTACCCACCCTCTCAGCCATGCCATCTCTTGAAAGCGTCACCCGAGGCAGAACAAGGGCTCAAGAAAGCCGTGATGACAATGGCGGCCGGAGGCGAAGGCACTCCCCCACACTTTCCACCATGTCAAGTTGGCTTGTCATCAAACCCGGCACCATCCGCTCAGCCCAGATCAGGTTCCTCAGCCCAGTTTTAAGGAAAGAAAACACTTCTTTTAGAGTCCACAGTAATGCTTGTCCGAGCCCTGGCCACCCCACCCGCTCCCTCAGTTCATTCTGGGAGGGAGAGCAGGCCTGCGGGTATGAGCGTGGAGAAGGCTGGGCTGCCACATTGATGCCATTTGGGGGTTCGGCCAGAAGACATTTCCTAGCAAATTGGGGTGACTTGGAGAAGCCGTGCCTGCTTCACACCATCCTGAGACCATCTACCCAAGGCCCAATGGTGGCCCATGCCACACCAACTCACCCTCACTCTTTCAGGAAAGCACCCTTGAATTAAAGCAATTCCAGCAAGAAAAGCCTTCATTGAAATTCCCTGGAGTTCCAGGACCTGAATTATAGACAAATTATTTTTAAAAATCCTTAGTTCTCCACTCAGCTTTTGCCAAGGAACTCAGCCAGGACAGAGGTGGCTGTGGCTACATGTGATGGGGCAGCATGAATTCACTCATATTCCTGGGCTGCTGACCTCATGACAGCTGGGGGCGGATGGGGACACCTCTCTTCTCCTGACATCTGCCTGGTCAGTTCAGGAGAGAGGAGGCTGGCCCCGAAACAGCCTCTTTCCTCGCACAAACTTCACCCGACCTCGGCCCCATCCGTGGTGGCAGCAGTCAAGAACTTGGCCTAAAATAAAGGAGGCCAGGAACACAGCTCAGCTCCAGGGGCCCGCGCAGAGAGCGGGCAGGAGGAAACCAGCGCAGGAGGAAGATGCATATTGATTTCTGTCATAGAGACCCTGTTTCTAAAATCAAAAGGTACAGAAACCCCGCGTGGAGGAGGTCCCTGGCAGACACAAGCTGGGGGCTCTAAGCCTTCCCCAAGCCGCCTCCACCACCACTAGGCACACACACACACACACACACACACACCCCTCTGACTTGCTGTATAGACAGAGAACGAGGGAATAACTTTTTAAATTTCTTTGGTCTCTTTTTCAGAAAGAACAAGGATGAACAAGGGAGAAAACTCGCAGTTGGTCGTTCTTCATGAGGATTCATGATAGTCACAGGGGCAGGTGCAGGCCTAGAAAGATCCGCAGAGGGAGGTGGAGTTGGGCGGGGGTATGGGGGCCTTCTGCCTCTAACTAACTACCAACCCCACCTTTCAGGACAAGAGACAACGAGTGAGAAGAGAGGCCTCAAGCACCACCTTTTCCTCCCCCGTCTAATTCCACATATAAACTTTCAGTCGAGGTTCCATTCCTGACACAATGCTGAAAGCTCCCCAAAATTTCATTTCTGGATTAAGTCACACCACTCCTCCCAACTTCCCAGAGGCAAAGGGGTGACCACAGCAGAAATGGGAGTCGCTTTTCTTTTTTGTGAATGAACAGGAAGGAAGACACACACACACACACACACACACACACACACACACACACTTGCGAGGAAAGAACATTCACTCCAGTTGAAGTTAAGCCACATTCTCTTACATTCGCATAAAGAGAGAAAGAAGGAAAAAAATCCTGGGATGGTGGAAAGGAAAACACACACACAGAGAGAAAGGTTTGGTAGCCCTCTCATTACAAGTTGGTTGGGCATAATGTAAACACACTTCTGCCTTGCTTAATCACAGAGTGCCGCCCATTTAGGTTTCAAAGGCGGCAGTAAATTGGGCGTAGCTGAGTGGAGGCTAAAAATTAACCAGCCATCTCTGTTTCAATTTGTAAGAAAACAAAAGCGGAAAGAAATTATAAAAAGGGAAAGGGGGGGGAGGGAACAGAAGGGGAAAACTGAACCACCCTGACCCAAAATGCAGAGTAAAATTGGAAAAGCCAAGAGAACTGGAACTACTTGGAACAGAAAAAGAAAAGGAAATTTTACAGTTGTTTTTTTTTTTTTTTACTTTCTTTGCTTCTTTAAGATCTCTTCCGTGCTCCCTGGCATGCCTGTGCCCCAAAGCCTCTCTGCCTGCCAGCAGAGGTGCGGGGAGTGTGGGCACCCATCCTGTCTTCTGGTCACTTCAGCGGAAAAGAAATCAGGTGAGGGAGAAGAGCATAAGACACCTCATGCTCCTTTGCACTCCCTATGCAATCACATGACTTTCTTACTCTCCGACAGCCAAACCCCAGCCCAAAGAGCTCCTGCCTGGGCGTCTGGGCCCCAGAATCTGCCCACCTCTGCCTTCGCTCCTCTTCTCTATTCCTTCTGTCTCGTACCCGGAGGTTTTACACACCCCTCTCTCCACCGAACTGCTGCCCACCCCGCTTGTGCCAAATCCGGCCTTCCCTGAACTTGAGGGGAAGCGGCAGGAAAGCCAGCACCTGCCCCCAAATACTTCTTTTGGCTCATGTTAAATCGGAGCAATGAGGTTTAAATGATTCTCCGAATTTAGATAGATTTTTTTTTTTTTTGGTGGTGGTGGTGGTGGTGTTTATCACAAACTCTCACCATTGCAGGTAATTCTGGGATATCATGGCCCCAGTCCTAAGCCCTGCAATGTCTTTTGGGTAACATGGTCCTGCAAAGATGCAGATGCACGAAAATCGAAAATCAGAACATGGCAAGGGAGCCAAGGAGACAGAACAGAGAGGGTGGAGGGAAACAGAAGGAAAAACTGAACATCCGGCGTGCTGCAGGCCTGGGCAGGACAGGGCGGGCGCCCTGGGTCGGTCCTTAGGGTGTATCATTCGGAGAGAAAAGCAACAATAAACAGGACAAATGCCAGCAAGTAAAATAAAATGGGGGGTGGGGGGTGAGGGGACCGAGCGTGACCTACCCGGAGTGTGGACAAAGTAAGCCAGATAAAGATCCAGTTCTTTGATTGTGACTCCAATGTGGTGTGGCTGGACGCACAGGCCGGGGTTCGAGCACTGGGGCGACTTGTAGAGCCGCTCCCCGTCAGTACTTTCCAGGGGGATCCCCTTAAACAAAATCACCATGACCAGGTCCAGCCGCCACACCTTGTCGGCCTGGCGCAGGCAGTCAATGCGCCGGATCTTGCCCTTCTGGTCGGGGTTGGAGAGCACGCAGCAGGGGGGCTTCTTGCCGGTGATGGTCAGCACGAAGCCTCGCCGGAACTCGGGCCGGATGTCTTTGCGCAGCTTGGCCAGCAGCCGGGACGCCCACTTCTGCTTGATCTCGGGCTTCTCGCCCAGCAGCTCGTCCTTCACCGCTCGCTCCTCGTCCTTCGACATCCGCTTCTCGTGCTTCTTGAAGTACTTGCGCTTCCGCGCCTGCAGGTTGAACCAGGTGTAGGCGAAGGCGCGCACGTGAGGCAGCAGCGCCTCGATGAACGGGTGGAACTCATCCTGCAGGCGGCAAGCCGGGAGCATGCGGGGCGAGGGAGGACGGGACGGGAGGAGGGGAAGACGGGGTGCGGGGGAAAGAGAACGGGAGACACGCGTTAGAAGGGGACGCAGGAGAAATCCCCTTCGTCGCCTCCTCCTCCTCCTCCTCCCACCCACGGCGATTTCCTCTTGCGATTGTTCTACGAAAGTGCAGTCTGGAGGCACCACCAGCCCGGCCAGCCGCCTGCGCCCATCGCAGCCTCAGCAGCCAGACAGAGGCACCGGGCGCCTGAGCGCACACCTATTCTCTCTCTCTCCCCCTCACTCGCTCACACACACGCGCACACACACACGCGCGCACAGACAACGTTGCGGTCCACACACACACGCTGCTGGTATCCGCGCCAGGCTCTGTCGCGCCCATGACATCTCCATGTTCTCTCGCAGCCTGGAACGCGTGTCGGCGCGCCCCGACACGGGGT